ACCGAACAATATTAAATATTTGAATCCATGAACACAAAATATGCTTTCATGGATTTGGGTCTTCTTTAATTTCTTTTAGTAATATTTTTTGGTTTTCAGTGTAAATGGCTTTTGCTCGCCAAACTCAATTATCCCTAGTTTTTTGTTTGTGTGTTTCTCACGTGATATTGTAAATGAAAGAGTTTCGTTAGTTTTCTCTTTGAACTACTCATTGCTGACATCTAACACCATGGCTTATTGGGAGGCATTGATTGCTCTGACACTCTGCCATCTTTCTGAATTTTTTTAGTGCTAACAGTTTTCTGGCCGACTCTTTGGGGTTGTCTATATTTAAAAAAAAAACAACACACAAGCTCCTTGTTCTCCACAATTGTATATAAGATTAACTCATCTGTGAAAATGAATAATTTTTACTTACCAGTTTGGAACTGTTCATTGCCATTGTCTATGAGCTCCGTCTAGAGCTTCTCACACAACCTTGAAGAGCTGTGATGAGAGCAGGTACCGTTAGTCCTGCTCTCCGTGATCAACAGACTTTCGCCCTTGAGTAAGAGATGACATGTGGGTTTTTTCATGAATGCCTTTGACCTTATTAAGGAATGTCCCTTCTATCCTACCGTATCTCATTTTGTGTACATTGCCTTTCATCACTAATGGTGTTTCTTTCTTAATGCCAGTAAGTCTTTGTAGGTACTCATTACTCACTGCCATCTAGTCCATTTCAACCCAAGGCAGCCCTGGTTCCCTGTGGGTTGATGAGACAAGCATTCTTACCTTTCTCCTGAGGAGTGGCTGGTGGTTAATAAATGCTGGCTTTGTGCTTAGCAATGTGCAACCCACTACACCACCATAGGTATCCAGTGATATTTGTATATCTTTTAAAAAATAAATGGCTATTCAAAGTCTTTGCTCATTTTACAATTGCATTATTTGTCTTTTAATTGTTGATCTGTAAGACTGTGCTACATATTCTGAATACGAGTCCCATAGGACATTTACAATAATTTACAATATTATCTCCCATTCTGAGAGTTGTCTGTCACTTTCATCATGATGCTCTTTAAAGTGCCAAACTTATCATCTCTTTATTAGGGTTGTTGCACTGGGAATTTTTACATTCATTGTATCAGTCGGTCTGACCAAGATTGAAGTCCCAGTGAATTTTGGGTTTTTTTTATAATAATTTCTTTTATTTGTTGCTGCTTTTTGAACATATACCACAAAACACAAAGAATTCAAAAATTTTCACATGAATAATTTAGTGATATTGTGTTATCCAAGATGTGCAATCATTTGTGTAAGGTAGTCAAGAGGCGCCAGAGAGCAAATCAATTGAATTAGAGCAAACAGGCTTTATTGGGGAGAAAAACCCAGCCCGGGCAAAGTTGCACTGTCCACAGTGTCCAGCCGAGGGAGTCACACTCCAGACTACAGGAGTGGTGTATATATAGCTGGGGAACATGTGACTAGGCTGCCTTGAGTCCATATAAGGTAAAGTAGTCAGGTATTGGGAGATACAGGTATGTCCAGGTTTCTGGAATGTAAGGTTTCTTCCTGGTTCCGGGTGTATTTGTGTTGGGTGTAGAGCCGCGAGCCAAGAACAAAGCGGGCACTGAGCCAAACGGGCCGTGAGTAAAAGAAAGTAAAAGAAACTTGCGAAGCTGCTTTGCATTACCAGCTCTGGTCAGCTCCATAGGCGTGTGTGGGAGATTCAAGGTCACTCGCTGCTAGTTGTTTCAGCGAGCTCTGATCAGCTCCGCACGGGTGGGGGAGATTCAAGGTCACTTGCTGCTAGAAGCTGGCCTGGAATTGATCCGGCCATACAATTTGCATCACCTTTTACTGAATTGTTTTTCATTAACATAAACTATCTGCCCTTAAGCCTCCTATCTAACCTATCTAATCTGTTATGAAATTGATCTCATATACATAAGAACTTGGAAATACTATCATGTGTGATCACGTCAATCCCAAAACATTTGTTGTATGGCCTCAGTAATATAAGAAGACAAGAACAAGCAAGTGTATAGGCACTACAGTGCGTCCAGAGATGGGGAGTGGAGCATTGCTTTTGGAGCACTCTGTTTCTCTTTATGGTGATGGGAAATCAATAATGATTAAGACAATGCTTGTACATCTGGTTGCTATAATTAATGTCAATAGGTTGTACACCTATAAAAAGCAAAAGATGAATTGGCAAAAATTATATGATAGATATATGTCCTAGGTTAGGGTCTCTTGAGAAGTAAAACCAGTGTAGCCTGTATATATTTATATGTAGAGGAATTTTTCCCAACACAATGACTCTCATATTTATGGAGGCTGTCAAGTTCCAAGTCTGGGAGTCAGAGGCAGGCTGGAAACTTCTGACTGACCTAGCTACAGGGGCTAATGAACCCAAGAACAGCAGGTCAGAAGGTAGACCACTGACTCGCAGTCTGTGGAGGTTAATGAATCCTAAGTTGGCAGGCAATATGGCAAGCTGCGGGCTCCAGTCCCAAGAATAGAAGTTACAGTGACAATGAGCCATCTGCAGGATCCAGGGTAAGCAAAAAGGTCAATGAGCTTTGCCAGAACATCTGTGTATATTGGAAGCAAGCCACACATCCTAAGGGAACTTCCTTTCTACTGAATGGAAGATCTGAATGGAGATCTGCTCTGAGCAGATCTCATAATGGAAGAGTTTGCACTGTACAAGGTCATAAAATGGGGAATCACTACATCATTACATAACTTTCAAACTATATCATAACCACCACACCCCTGATTATCATGGTCCAGCCAAGTTGATACACAACTTTAACCATCACGGTATACTTGCAACAGCAAAAACAATGAACAGCTGCTTATGCACAACCAAACATCTCATGTGATTTGCTATTTTGATTTTGAAACTAAAAGTCATAGTTTCATGGGACATCTCAGTTAATGCCCTATGACCTATTTTTGTACTTCTGTTCTACTTCCAAGTAGCCCGGGTAGCATAGTGGTTGCACATTGGGCTATAATCTGAAAAGTCAACAGTTCAAAACCACCAGCTGCTCAATGGATAAAGAAGAGACTTTCTACACCCATGAAGAATTACAGTCAGAAACTTCCTGGGGACGTTCTACCCTGTCCTATAGGGTTGCTATGAGTCAGCATCGACTGGATGGCAGTGAGTTTTATCTGTTTGTTTGATTTTTGTCCCCACTTCATAGTTCATTTTTCAGTAGGAGTGTTCAAAACTCAGGCTTGTTAAGCTGATCCAATGGACATCAATGGTCTCTACTCACCTGGAACAGCCGAGAAAGAGGAAGAATCAAAAACAGGAGAAGGAAATTGAATTCCTGATCATCGTTTCCACAAACAAGTGCCTCTTCTGCAATGAGAGCAAATGGAAATTTTGGTTAAACCGTCTACAGAAGAATCCTGATCAAATTTAGGGAAAATGCAAAATAGAATTTCAAGTCTCATGACATCCAGATTTTCTGGAGCCATTGAGACTGGATACATTGAAACTATTGCCTGAAAAATGTTAAAGCTTTTACCAAAATTATGCCTTAAAGTCTTATTCAAACCAAAGCATTGTTACTTTAGATTAAGAATGTATGGCTTAAGCATTGTGCTCCCAGGGCCTGGCTTTTAGCCAATGGCTTCCCTCTGTGTGCCGCGAGCTTCTTCCTTTAGGACAAGGTTCCTAATAATGTGCTACTTCCCGAAATGACTGAATAGCAACACATCCCCTTTGGTACATTGATGCCATTTTAAAATTGCCTGCAGGGTGAGAGTCATAGGCCAGACTGTGGAACTCATACCATGTTTCCTCTCTCTCATAGACCACTGTCTGCTGCCCAGCCCTACTGTACATATTACTTCACATATGTTTGCCATTTTATAATGTTTACTCGGTTCTAATAATATAATGGTGGCAGTGCTAAATATCTGAAATTAAAAATTAGCTTTGCAGATTTCTCATATCAAGCTGTTTGATGAAAATGGCATTTAATCTAAAGACGAATTTGGAGCGATGGGGCATGTTAGATCTTTCTATCCTTGAACTTGATTGACTGGATTTTCTGTAAGGACTTTCACTATGCTCACCTGCTTAATCTACTACATTTTAAAAGGTTTTGTGGAATTTATTACAAAGTACACTCTCTTTTTTTGCTTTGTAAATAGTATCTTTTCTGAAGCTGTTATTTGTGCATAGAAATGCAACCGTGTTTAACCTCGTGGCTAAACTCTTTCATTAATTATAAAAATTATAAGCTGATTTTAAGCATGTTTCTAAGCTCTCTTACTAATGATACTAATTTCTCTCTAAAATATTTGGGTTTATATTTATATCAGCTGTTGCTACTAGCAGTCTTTATATTTTTTACTTATTTATCATGACCTCTTACTGTGCATTACACACAAGCAGCCCTGATGGTGCTCTTGGGTAGGGGTTGAACTACTGACCACAAAATTGGCAGTGTCAAGCCATCAGTGACTTCTCAGGAGGAAGTGGAGGCTTTCTACACCTGTAAACATTGTCATCATCAAAAACTGTGTCATAGGTCACTGTGAGTGGGAATTGACTGGGTGGCAGTGGGTTTTCAATGTACATAGTTGTATGTCTCCACAGTATTAATACTTTTTACTTTCTAAGAAGTCTTAGATTTTTTTTTTAACTTACAGGTACGTGCTACAGCATTGAGCTCTGATTCTTTCTGTATTTTAATATCTAGGGTTCTCTTAGTTCCAAATGCATGAGCAAATATGCTTTCTCTAGTACCTCGATATTTTAGCAATTTATACCAAGATTTACAGGTATGAAGCTTAAAGGGGTAGTTCTACCCTGTCCTATAAGGTTGCTATGAATCGGCATTGACTCAATGGCATTGGGTTTGAGTTTTGGTTAACCTACCATACCTTCAGAGGTAGATTGAGGTCTACGATTATAGTTTTGGTGCAAACAGGTTTTCTTGTTTTGTTTTTTCCACAATAAGCATTTTTAACAAATCATCTCTTCTTAGGAATTGGTGTGCATATGTGCACACCAGGCTATCTCCTACAGTGATATTGGACACCCAGGTCAGTCATGTTCCAGAGAGGAGAGGGACCTGTGGATGGTACCAAGGATTCTGCCCTCAGAGGTATGTAATATTTCTGGAAAACAACCAACAAGCTAGGCAGCTGGAAAAAGTCAGTAGCACCAGATACTCTGTGTAGCAGGCTTAGAGGAGAGTCATCACATTCAAATAAGCTCTGTCACCTTGCAGGACCCCAGGCCTGCCTTTCACTGCGGGTAAGACTGGAGCATGTGCCTAGGTACAGATCAGAGATAAGAGCTCACGACACACAGAACCCAGGTACAGGAATGGGAGTAGCGATAGCAGAAGCGTGGGGTGAAGGTGGGCAGAGCAGGGGAAGAAGGGGGAACTGATCATAATGTTGACCACATAACCACACCCTCCCCCAGAGGGGACAAACGACAGAAACCATGGGGGAAGGGAGACAGCCGTAGGTGTAAGATATGAAAATAATGATAATTTATAATTTATCAAGGGGTCACCAGGGGAGAGGATGGTAAAAAGAGGAGCTGATACTAAGGGCTCAATAGAAAGTAAATGTTTAGAAAATAATGATGGGAACATATGTACAAATATGCTTGATACAATTGATGTATGGATTGTTATAAAAGCTGTAAGAGCCCCAATAAAATGACCTTTAGGGGGAAAAATGGCTGCATTTAGGATCATATGAGAAAAATGCAGCTACATGTATATTTTGAGTCTTTTGTTTTATGCATTGTGAGTCTTCAATAATTGGAAAATCTTGAAATCTTGGCTCTGTATTTACTATTGCTCTTTGTTTTATACTGTGATCTGATGAATAATCCTGTTTCTTAATTAACAATTTAATTCAAGGCCATTTTGAAGATTAATTGATGACTCCTCTTTTGTACGAGTCACAGATGAGCGTGTGACTCGGCTCATCCCCTAAAACTCCTGAGAAACCACTAATGGCCGTTGTACATAGCAAAGCTTCCAAGTGAGGCCTTTCTTCTTGGGTCTATTGCCATGAGCATTGGTTTTTAATTTTTAAAAGAAATCAATGTAATTGTCCTCAAATGTAGGCTGAGTAATTGATACCTTTTCTGAATTCATACAGAGTAGCTCAGCTGAGGTGCTTCTGGAAAGCCTACAATAAAAACTAAAATTGCTATTCAGACCATGATGGTTAATGTTATGCAAATTGTCATACAAATAACTCAGGCAATGAACCTGACACATGGACAATCTGGAAGGAGACATAAAACCAAGGTGCTTCTTAGTCCCTTGAGGACTAGCGAAGGTTCATGGTCCAGAAAGCTAATCACACCTGAGGGATTTGGGAAACCTGTGCCTCAGTGCTACTCTCAGTGTTTATTCCCTTTGTGACAATTTCCTAGCCAACACTAGGTACAAAGAATACATTAGTTCCTTAATAATGAAAATACTTTCTCACTAACCCCAATAATAGTGCACTCCTGGGTTCAAGGTGAATCTCTCTCTCTCTCTCTCTCTCTCTCTCTCTCTCTCTCTCTCTCTCTCTCTCTCTCTCAATAAAGCAGATATATTTATCTTCACTCTCACATATTTATATCTCAGCATAGGGAGAGATTTCAGTATCGTGAAATGTATGCCTCCTTCAAAATCATGCCTGAGCAACATCCATGGCAAATCCAATATGCCAAAGCAGGTGCATTGATATCAACAATGATGTCACTAAGCTGCCTGAGCTAACTGTCTTGGAGTTGGCCACTGTGCACAATAGGAGTAAAGGCTGCACCATCTCCATGGTCACTTGTAGATTGCATCAAACCAAACTCACTACCAGGGAATCAATCGGACTCACAATGACCCTCGAGGACAGGGTAGAGCCGCCCCTTCTGCATTTCTGGACAAGAACTATGGGCAAGTACAATGCCTCCTCTTCATCCTGCACAGGAGCTGGTGGTTCAAATTGCTGACCTTGCCGTTAGCAGCCCAAACCACAACTCACTACACAATCAAACCTCCATGTACATTGGATCCATTGGATGTAGAAGGTTTTCACTGGCTGAGTTTTTTCAGACATACATCAACAGGACTTTCTTCCTGGTCTGGGAACCCTGCTCAAACCTGTCCAGGCTGGTAACATGCAAACTTCCACGGCCAGTCAGGTGCTGCTTCCTCGTAAGGGGCACTGGTAAGGAATTTAGTCCAGGTCTCCTGCCCAGATGGCACAAATTTTGCCACTGAGCTCCAAACTAACTATTTCTTTACAAATTGCCCTCCTTTCTGCATTTGCTGATGGATCGGAGATGTCAATTCACTGGACAGAGTAATTGGTTGATATAACTTACTGTGAAAAAGAGTAGGAAATGATTAGCTTATTTATAGTATGGAAAGACTCTTGCGGCTTACCTTACAACTGAGGAAAAATGCAGAAATACTAAATACTGAGCTAAATACTGTGCAACTGTGTGAAAGCCCGAGTCTCCCAAAGCCTAGTCTCTTTTACTAGTTTTCCTCTGCCTGGGCAGGGCTTATCTATGGCAATGACGACTCTTGTGTCCTCATAGCTGCCTGTGACGAAAGTAAGATTAAAACATTGGGAAGCTATGGGTCTACATAGCCAAGATTTTATATCCTACCTCTACCACTTTTAGGTGTGATTATCTCATCTATTTTTTCTTCTGTTTCCTCATCTGCAAATAAGGGTAAAGCCAATATGTTCCCCATAGAATGACAGGAAGACGAAGCAACAATATGTAGCAATGTTATGGGCTCATATGAGAGTATTAGCTAAATACTGAAGCCCTGGGGAGAAGAATGATATATGTGCAAAACTATGTTTATGATTTACGTGAACTCACATAGATTCCGTGACTTAATGCCATTGATTGTTTATACTCATTGCCGTGTTAAAATGCTATTTTTTCATTTTCCCCCTTTTTCAAATTGATGCTCATAAATAATATCTTCTCATGTTAAATTTCCCTCTCACTTACTTTCTCTGCCTCCCTATGGGGAGAGAAATATTGTATGACAGAAATAGTAGAGAATATGATTTTTAAACTTTGTTAATGAGTAAGTGTAGATTAAAGATGTTAAGGAGAATCCTAATTTGAATTAGATCATGAATATTCAATTTATTACATATTGTTTGATACTGATGTGGAGGAAAAGTTGATATTTTTAACTATAATGATACAGAAAATAATGGGAAATGGAATAGAAGTAAATTAACACCTGTATAAATATTTTTAAATATGAGTTAAAACATGTTTTAGCATTGGTTTAACAAAAGACATTGTCAAGGGAAAGGCTATACTATCTTTAGAAAACATCATGCAGTCACCAACTTAAAATATCCCATAATATAGTACTTTCACTATGCATTTTAAAGTTGTAACTTGGTCAATGGTATTGAGATGAAGTTTACAATGATATAATAATAACTAACACCTACTGAAAGCATATTATCTTTTAAATATTTTCAATCTGTTTACACTTATTACCCCTAGTGATAATTCAATGTGAACAAATCATTTATTTTTCACCCATTTCCATAGGTCTCAGAAAATATCAAATCCTGTCTATAGGATGCAACATAAAATCGTCACTTCATTGGACTGGAAGTGCTGTCCTGGATTCAGTGGACCGAACTGTCAACTAAAAGGTACGCAAAATTAATAAAAGGGAAACATTTGTATAATGATAATTAGAAGCATAAAATTCTGAAGAATAAACAACCGATGCCACTGGGGAAAACTTGCATTTTCCCTTTTGACTGAAGGTAAACTGAAATGTAGTCAAAGTGTTGATATTCTTAGTGTTTTAGAGCTCCCTAACTAGGTGGTGATCACAAAACAAACCCAAACCAAACAAACAGAAACACCAAACTGCATTCCAGTAGACTCCCTTGTGTTAGGAAGTAGAGCTGCTCCAGAGGTTTGTGGATGTTGTCGTTGTTGTTGTGTTACTGTTTATGCAAAGTCCCCAGACCTTCTTTCTGGAGCTCTGCTGCGTCGGCTCAAATCCCTTGTAGATTAGTAGACAAGCACAAACCATTTACGACACCCAGACCCCGGCATGATCCCCACACACCAAAGTCGCTGCCGCGGGGTCCGAGCTGACTCACCTTGACTCTACCAGCCCGGGCAGGACGGACCCCGGGGGTTTCTGAGACTGTAACCCTTGACAAGAGCAGAAAGCGTCGTCTTTCTCTGCAGAGAAGCTGGTGTTTTCAAACTGCAAACCGTGCAGCTAGCAGTGTAAGACATAGCACATGGTGCCCCTGTGGCTAGAATCAACTCAATAGCAATGAGCGTTGTTTTTGTAGCTTTAGTGTTAGGCACATACATGTGAAGAGTAGTTATCCGTTAGCAGCCCGAGGCATCGCCACTAGACCACCGGAACCCGAAGTCACGCCTGGTTACCTTGGAGTTCCTTCTGACACATTGGCCTCAAAACGGAGTTTAACTGTAGGGTTTCCAAAGCCACCATCTTTACAGAAGCAGATGCCGTATCTTTTTCCTAGTGAGAAACAGGGGAGTTGAACCTCCACACCTCTAAGGTAGAGCTTAATCTCTGCGCTACCAGAACTCCTCGATAACGTCTATGTGATCATTAGGTTTCATCTATTTGGTTCCAACTCATGGCACGCTCACAATTGTTCTTATGCCTGAGCCATTGTTTGTGTTCTTTTTGAAATGGTCTTAAAATTTCATTTTACTTTATTCACAGTCCATGACCATGGCTTTACTATTTAATGTGATGCGATTTCTTTCTTTTTTAAAGAATGAATCATTCTATTGGTGTTCTTACAACAATCCATACATCAATGGTATCAAGCACATTTGTGTATTTGTTGCCATCATCATTTCCGAAACACTTTCTTTCTACTTGAGCCCTTGGTATCAGCTCCCCTTTCTACTCCTCCCTCCCCCACCCTCTCACCCTCATGAACCCTTGATAATTTATAAACTTTTTATTTTCATATTTTACACCATCTTCTGTCTCCCTTCACCCACTTGTTGGTCCCTCCCCCCAGGTGGGGGGCGTTGTACATCGATCATTGCAATCTGTTCCCCCTTTCTCCACCTCTTCCCCCACTCTCTCTTCATCCTCATGGCATCACTACTCTCAATATGGGTCCTGAGGGGTTTCTCTGTCCAGGATTCTGCGTGTCGAGAGCTCTTATCTGCAGCAGTGCACATGCTCCGGTGTAGACAGATTTGTTAGAACTGGGTCATGATAGTGGGTGTGGAGGGTGGGGGGTGGGGGGTGGAGGGGGAGCATTAAAGAACTAGAGAAACGTTGTGTGTTTTGTCGGTGCTGTACTACACCCTGGCTGGCTTCTCTCTTCCTTGTGACCCTTCTGTGAGGGGATGTCCAATTGTCTGCAGATGGGCTTTGGATCGCCATTCTGACACCCTCTTTCACCTCAAAATGGTTGTTTGTGTTGGGTCTTCTGATGCCTGATACCTGATCTCGTCAACACCTTATGATCACACGGGTTGGGCTGCTTCTTCCATGTGGACTTTATTGCTTTCCTGCTAGATTGAGCCCATTGTTGAAGCTCCTGGGACCATCCATCTTGCTGCCTTCCTCGTTTTCACTGCCCCTCTACTTTACCAAACATGATAACCCTCTCCGGGTACTGGCCTCTCCTGATACCATGTCTAAAGTACATGAGATGAAGTCTCAACGTGCTTCCTTTAAGGAGTAGTCTGGCTCTACTTCTTCCAAGACAGATCTGTTTGGTTTCCCCCCCACCAATTAGCAAACTTTATTATAAATTAGCATGTTTGAGAAATAGAGTAGCAAAGATTTGTGACTTTTTTCCTTAAGGATTTTAGACATTTCCAAAACTAGAAACAGTAGTACAATGCACACCGGTATAGTCACATATAATTCTACTTACATATCATATATACAATACTACTAACACTTCCACTTTAGAATACAAAATAGTTCGCTAAGATTTTTTGTACTTTGATTTGAATTTTTTCTGAGAGGGGGCGGGGATTTAAACAAAGGATTTTTTTTGGCAGTCCTTGGTACGTTGAATATTAATTCAAATGCAGCAATCTTCTGAATTAATGTGCACTTTCACCTGCATATGTGGCAAATAAAAAACCATGCCTTGGGTCAGGTGAGTCTTCGTTCTCAAAGCAACCTTCTTGCTTTCCAACACTTTGACGAGGTCTTATGCAGATTTCCTCACCTGCAATGTGTCCTTGATGTCGTGACTGCTGCTTCCCTGAGCATTGGTTGTGAATGAACTTAGAGGAAATGCTGACAACCTCAACCTTTTCCCCATTTGTCATGATTCCACTATGGGTCCAGGTGTGAGGATTTTTGTAAATCTGACACTCTCTCTTTTCATTTCTCCCTCTGTTTTTTCCCTGTTGTTTTCACATGAGTAGTTTGCGGATCTAACAAAATATCTTAGGTATTATTAATTATATGTTATAAAAATATACCAATGTAATATAACAGAAATACTAATTGTGCATGTTTAAATAGATTAACATTATAATTCATCTTTGTGTTAAAATAAGGGAGCCCTCTACTTATATTGCAACTTAATTATTTGAAATAAAGATTGTACTCATGAATGAAATTTAATTCTGAAGAATATTAAAAATTTCATGAATAAATCTCTTTGTGTGAGTGTGTGTGTTTATATGTACATATATATTAATGAAGCCATTTTTTTCAATGAGTTTTTAAGAATATTCTGGTGGCAAAGCTTATCAAATGCCTGGTAATCTGAGGTGATCTAACATCTTTGTGACTGTAATTTTGCTTCTGGCTTTAAGCAAGTTTCCTTTGAAAAATAAGATATGGCGTCAGCATACATATTTTAAATGAATGAATATTACAAGAAAGGCCATTAGCAGTGATAGAGAATTCAATCAGCAGTGTAAGAGACTGTGATTAAAAATTAATGTAAGTGTGGAAAAGCCATTATGAATCACACTAAAAAAAAGAGTGTCATAATGCGAAAGCTCTAGAAGCCCTGTGGTTTAGTTAGGGACCTTATCCAAGGGTGTTATCCTGTGGTTTATTTAGGGACCTTATCCAAGGGCGTTATCTCACTCTGTGTGTTTATTAACACATGAGTGAGAATCAGTAGGCAAATTTCTCTGTAATACTCTTTGTTCTGTCTAACCTGAATTTCAGAGACATTATAAAAATTTAATACACTTAGAGTACAACCAGAATATGTAGCATTTACAATCAGGAAACATAAACTTTTAAATAAAATAGCATATGTACTGAAAATACTTAGAGAGTACATAATGCAACATATCCTAGAATAATCAAACTGTGACCTTGAAAGACCTTCTGACTTTCATAAATTTGCATGGAGGCACCCACAATGGTGGAACTTGTTCATTCTTTCTAGCCGATAAGTACCTGTGGTGCAAGGTTCTGAACAGATGGAGACTTATAAACCTAAAATCGCTTTTATATTTCTACTCTTATATGAAGGAAGATATCTTGGGAATATTAATGCCATTATCATTTCTTAAGGATTCAGCGTTTGTTTGCAGAATTTTAATGAATTCCTAGAAATTTAGGATGTTCATGTAACCATGAACACAGACAGGAGCCTAATCTGAAGGTAAATAGGAAGGAGCGAAGTGTATACATCAGCATCCTTCGTGGACTTGGGCTGATTGGAACCGCCGTTGCTCCATGCTTTGGTCTCTTGCACTAGTCCGCATCTCTCATCTATCTTTGGGTCTTTTGCACATTTTTCTCTTCTGAAATATACCCAACTACATGTCCATCTGCACCCCACCCCCACCATACTCTCTCTCCTTTCCACACACCCCCTTTACGTGTGCACCCACAAAATCTTTTTATTCTTATACCGGAGCGAAAATTGTCAGTTTTCTTTGACAGCAATGCACATGCTGTCTCATATGACAAGCTGCCCCATGTCTGGCAAGAAGAATAATGCTCACTGATTTATTCTTTCCAGCCCTCAGCAGATTGAAGTAACCTGATTACATAACGACTCGGACAATTATTTCAAGGCTGGCCCTCGGAACATCAGGGGGTTGTTTAATTCACAGAAAATTATTACAATACTCTATAACTGCAGCAAATACATGTTTCTAAAACTGGTTTCCTAATATGAAAAATAAGGATTTTCCTTTCATGTGGATTGAAGTAGAGAGACTTTTAAAATTGTTGTGGTGACAAAATACATATAACAAGATATTTTCCGTGTTGTTCTTTTGACATGCACACTTCAGTGGCATCCATTTTGACCGTCCTGCTGGGCAGCCATTAGCCTCGTTTCCCATTTTTTTCAGCACCCTGATTAAAATCCCCCTTCAGTCCGTCGTAACAGCTAATAAAATCTAGACTCTGGGTATGTGATAAATTTTAAACATTTTCTATCAGTAGACTCACAATTTTTTTCATTGTGACTGATTCTTTCACTTGACATGCTTTTGAGCTCTTCCACCTAGTAGACTGAATCGGGATTTTATTTTTCTTCATCAATAAGTGGTGTTTGACTGTGTGAATATACCTCATTTTTGTTTATCCAGCCATCTGTTGACAGACATTTAGATTGTTTCTATTCATTGGCTCCTGTCACTCACGCTGCAATGAACACTGGTGGAAAAGTATCTGCCTGCATTTGTTTTTAGT